CGGGTGTTGAGGCCAAGCATCTTCGTGGTTCGTATAGCTGTTACTGATGGATTCCGGTTACTGCGCTGGTGGAGTGATACTTGGTTTCACCTTACAAGGATCTTAGTCTGACAAGGATCTTGTGAAGTTTTCAGGGAAAGCCGAGGAGTTAGTTCCTTATGCATTACAGGTTTGTGGAAAATCATGGAGTAAAATGTGTCGAGCAACTGTTTCTTAACTTGGATTTGTTAGTCTTAGCTATTATTTTTCTCTCCAAATGTATTGCATGTATTCTCAACCTGTAGCAAATTCTTGTTAACAGTATTTCTAGAAGAAGCATCAGTAATTGGTGCATGCTGTCACCTCCATGTGCATTTATGAAATGTTTTACTTTTTTAATTTAGATTATGTGGATAAGCCTTTGGAAAAACCTCTAAAGCTGGTGCTTAAAGTTGGAGGAAGTGAAGTGACGGAACTTTCTGGGTCAGGGCATGATTCTAGTTACTATGATGACAGATCAGATCATGAGCGAGAACGACATAAAGAAAAGAAGAAAAAAAAGAAAAAAAAGTCTGAGAAGGAAAAAGAAAAACATCTAGATGATGAGGAAAGAAGAAAGAGAAAGGTAAGCTGTGATTTTTAGAATTCAGACATACCAGTCTTCACGCTTGCTTATCAGATCTAAAATCTGGTGCAGAGTACCAGAACCCTTTTTTAATCGCTGTTGTAAGAAGCTTATTGTTTGGAGACAGCACTTCACAAACGTAGAAAACCCCTGTGTGTGTGTTGGTGTATTTCTCCCAGTTAAAAGAGATATCCCTGTGATGATTTTTTGAACAAAGTAAAAGCTTGTTTCTTGAGAAACTGCTTGTTTTTCATATCCGTTTATTTTGTCTGTAAGTATGAATACTTCCATTTTAAGTTGGATGTTTTTTATTTCAGCCAGGTCAGAAACATGTTTTGCTACCCTTTGAGGAGGGTATTTTCAGCTTTTCAAATAAATCTAGATTGCATTTCTGTTCCTGAGATATGCCAAGTTATTGGACATTGAAATTGATGTATTTACTCAGAACAGCTTTCTGAAATCTGATGTGTTGAGTACTGAGGTACAATAGTCTTGTTGGCTCTTGTTTAAAATAACCTGCATGCTAGGCTTTGTTAGTAGCAAATAGTGTGGTCACCTTAGTTGTCTGTGCTGAACCCTTAAAGAGTTAGATTGAAATCAGCAAGAAGGCATTGACGGCACAGTTACCTGTACAATTTAATTTTAATAGTATTTCTTTTGTGAAATATTGTTAAATCATTACATTGAGTAATGATTCTCTGACCTTTCTGCTTTTTTAATTCTCTTCTGTCGTGTAGTTCTACTATTCTCATATGACAGTTTTTCGGTACTTCTTTGTATGTGTGTATGGCTAACATCTGTCATTTCAAATTGATTTATTTGTTAGGCAGTGATATATCTTGTAGGACCATTCAGGTGCTCTTGAATACAGGGCAGATAGTGGAAAATTTTCTTTGTACAAACATTTTCAAATATTTCAGTTAACAGTATGGCTGGGACTTGAAATGTAGCAAAACAACTGTCTTTAACACAAGATCTTGCAGCATCAAATCAAATTATTTTTTTTGCCTTTGCTAAATTGGGGGGGGGGGGTGGTCATTTGGATATTTTTTTTTCCCCAGAACTTCATTATTAGTGCATGCAAAAGAAGCTAACGGATAGATAAGTAACAGAACTGTAGTCTGGAAGGTTAATGAAAGGAAGGTTAATGAAAGTATGCTTTTCTGTGCAAACAAGAATAATGACTGTAAGATTATAGGAATGACTCAGGCATGCCTTTGCTTTGAAGCTCAGGAAAGAGATCATTAATTGCCTCCACTGTTACAGAGTATTTCTTATGGTTGTTTTGTAGGCTTCCTAAATTATCACATACTTTATTGATTCCTGTTTAATGCACCAAACAGCAAAAACACATTGATCAAAGCAGAGCTACAGACTGATCTTTACTGAACAGTAAATTAACTTCCTTTACTCTCTGGTGTAGCTTATTATGCAATTTTACATAGAAAGAGCTTTAGAGTTTAACATTCTTTTCAGTAAAAGTACAGTAACTAATGATAGAACGGTAGTGTATTAAATACAAAGAAGCAAAAGGTGAACAGTATTAGTTTTAACTGGAGAAGAAAACTGAAAAAGTGACAATGAAAATGTATGCACTATTGTTTAAACCATATTATGGCTCAGATATAGAATGAGTATTCCAAACAGAAAATCACTGTCTCTTACCTTTTGGTATGTGGGATTTCACATTCCAAGTACGTTCTTCTAAAACCTGTCTTCTTCCTGCTGCGCTAGGAAGAGAAAAAGAGGAAAAGGGAGAAAGAACAGTGTGACACTGAAGGAGAAACTGACGACTTTGATCCTGGGAAAAAAGTGGAGGTTGAACCTCCTCCAGATCGTCCTGTCAGAGCATGCAGAACTCAGCCAGGTGAGCAGTGTGAAAAACTAAATCATCTTGGGTGTTTTTAAAAGCACTCACAACAAAGCTTTTATCAAAGGTACCAAAATGTAGAATTTTCATGAGGATTTGCTGAAATCTAGAGACTTTATTAAAAGTCAATATTCCTCTTGGTGCTTCTGGGTTTTAGTAGGTTTGTTTTCATGTGACCGAACTTGCCAAGGACATCTGTCTCTGGCTCCTGTTACTTGGCAGAAAAAAGCTAGTATAAAAGTATTATTGTGTGTAGTGTTCCCCTAATTCCTTCTCCTTAGCATTTCCTCAGCATTTACAGAACAATGGTCAGAATGTCTGAAACTAAGTTGTGCTCAGTTCAAGGGAAAAAAATCTTGTGGAGACTGCTTAGCAGTTGTTACGGTCTTTTTTTATAACCTATGTGGAGTTTTAATTTTAGTATCTCTATTTTCATCAAAAGTACAGCAGTAATTTGTGATAGGGTGTCTCTAAAGACCATATTCCGCCCCAGTTTTCATTTACCAGTCTTCTTTCATTCTCATCACCAGCCAAAATACTTATCAGTTGTGCGTGGTAACTTCTGCATGTTTAATCCCTTCAGATTTTGCCATGCTTTCTCAACCTGCAGCCATTGCTTGATGGTTAAAACTCAACAATATCCACTGGAAACTTTTACTTCCAAGACTTTTCAAATACATCATGATGTCAGTACACATATGTCTGGAAATGGAACTTAGTAGCAAAAAGTTGGGTCTTTAGGAATATTGTGAGTCTTGTCTTTTGAACACTGCTCATTGACTGGTCAAGTAATTTACGGAGGAATTTTCTAATTATGACTGCACATTAAATTGAGGAATGGTGTCCATCAACTGTCAAGGTGACCTAATAGGGGTAACTGAAACTTTCTGGTCAAAGCTTTATGTCTCTGGGTAGTCTGGAGCTTTGAAAAACTGATCTCTATATTGACGAGGCTTCTATTTTCATCTGCTTGGAAAATGTTGTTCTAAAGCATATAAATTGAGTTAATTTGGTTATATGGTTAAGAAGGGAAATGTCTCTTCATTATCATGATGAAGAGTTGGAGTTTTAATTCTAGATTTCAGCATGCTGCTTCTTTAGTTTTTCAAACTTCACATTAAAGCCAGTCTTTCTGAAGTATGTGCATGGAACAGGTATTTAATGTGTAGTGTTTACTGTTTAATCTGTACAGGAAGTGAAATCGTAATCAGTACCTCTCTTGCCAGCAAATCTGCATCTATTTATCACTCTTCTTTTTGATGGAAAAGATTCAGAGAAGCTAATTGCATTGGTGTTATGGTAAAGAAACCATTAAAATTGCACGGATAACATGTTGTAAGAATGTGGGTTTCCCAACTGCAGTATTTGAGCAATGAAGTTTCACTTCTCCTGTAAAAATACATAACACCTTACTTTCACCTTATTAATACATTTTCTTACAACTACTAGACTTAGCATTACATCTGATTTAATGTCTACTAGTTTTTAATGTGATTAAAACTCAGTAAGTAGTAGAGGAGAAGAAATAGTTACTGTATGCTTAGAGATTTGATGTGTGTCTGCTTTGAAATCCATGTCTCATTGACCTTCAGATGAGTACAAGCTGTACTTGTAGTTAAGATTTTTCTCTCTGGTATTTATATTTTTAAATAAATATACCTACATTCTGTTTCTTTGCACTTATCTGTGTTTCCGTCTCAAACTGCAGCTGAAAATGAGAGCACACCGATCCAGCAATTACTAGAACACTTCCTTCGCCAGCTTCAAAGGTATTAAGTGTATTGTATCGACAGCTGTGTTGACAGTGTCTAATGCATATCTGTATGTGTTACTTTACAACTTCTTATCCTGGTTTTCTGTTTGAAAATAGTGCCTAAAATTGGCTGTAATATGTTTGCTAACCTTTGCAACCATGTCAGACCTGGTAGCTTTAAAAGATTAGTTGAGGAAAATTATTACCGACTATGTAATTCTAGCTTTTGGCAGGGAAGTGTTTTGGGCAGAGGATACATTGCCATTATAAATTTATTAAATATTAACAACTTAGTTTAGGAATTAAAAAAGTTATGAATTTTTTAATAGTTTAAAAGATTGAACTGTTCTCATGCAATTTTGTTTATTCTGTGTCCTCTGTCAGATACCAAAGCAAGTTTATATCTGCTTACTTGATAATCCTCTTAATTTGGAGAGGCTTTTTATTTTATTGTTTTCCATAAAATGTTAACCCTGTACCTCATGTTTTTAAAACCAACCAACCAAAAAACTTCATTTTCCTTTTTTAATACATAGCAATAAGCTGAATTTGGAACTAATTGAAAATATTAAACACTGTAGTTATTTTTAGAGGACCTCATGAACAAGAAGAATTGAAGAGGTTATTACTCAGTGACCCATTTGGTGTGTAAACAGAGACACAGAAAGTGTACAAGAAATAATTAAGTAATTCAGGAACTAGCTGAATCTCTTTCAAAAAGTCTACATGTTTGTAAGCAAAATTCTCTCCTGTATCAGGAAATTTTTCAAATATGCTTCTGTTTTATGGAATGCTTTTGGTGTTTTTTCTTTTGAGTAGTACTATTCTTTTTGTACCATTCATGTAGTATAAAAACAATGATCATTTTGTTTGCTGATATAAATCTAAATGTATTGTTTTTATTTTTAGGAAAGATCCTCATGGGTTTTTTGCTTTTCCAGTCACGGATGCCATTGCTCCTGGATATTCCATGATAATAAAGCACCCCATGGATTTTGGTACGATGAAGGAAAAAATTGCAGCAAATGAATACAAATCAGTCACTGAATTCAAGGTGAATTGATAGAAATTTAGTTATTTCAGAACTCTTTAGTAAGAAACTGAAGATTCTTTTCAACTGTAGAAACCTTTCTTACATTAATTATTTTAATGTGCCTTTTTTCAGAACTGAGCACTTTTGTATATTCTGTGTGTTAGAATGGGTTTCTTGCTTTGTTTCTCACCGTGAAGCTCTATATTTGTCAGATTCTATTACAAATTACTGTAGAAACCAAGAACATACTCTAAAGTTCTATGGAATTCATGCTGCTAGACATAAGCAGGAGTAAGGCTATCACAAAGGCTTCAGTGGTTGAAAAACCTGGAGTTCCCTTTTTTCTTTTTTTTTTTTTTTTTAATCTAGACCCTGTTAGATTGTTTAAAAGGCAATTTTGACATGTCTGCAAGAAAACTGTGGATATACTGAAACGTTTTGTATAAGATTCAATAACAGCTACATATTTTTTATCTTTAATTGTCCTGTTTTCCATATAACTTCATTTGGAATGGTCTTTTGGCAGAAACTTACTTGGCAAGTTTATTGGCAACTTGCCATAGCTATTTTGTGTATTGCTATTGCTGTAATACCTTAATGGATGCTTTGTGGTTTTACAGACAATGCAGTAAGAAATCTTTTCGTGGTATTGCCAGCTCCTGAAAGGAAAAGAGTTTTCTTTAACTGATTCATGAAGTTCTATTAACTGCCTTCAGTACTGTTGTTTTCTAGAGTGGTGTTGATATAACAATAAACTTGTCAGAGAGCATTGGCTTGCTTCTCAGGGTTAATTTCTTCTTTTGAAAGGTCCAGCAAGGTGAGCAAAGAATGGCTTATATTTCCTATAGGTGCTTTCACAAAGATTATTCTGTTTTGTTATGTATGCTTTATTTTTCAAAAAAAGTGTAGAGATTCTATAGGAAAAAGTAAAGAAAGATTCATAATTGCATTGCCGTCAGCAGTGCCTTCAGGTCTCTAAATTCTGTTGGCTTGCTGGTTTCTCTTACTGAGCAACTTAAAAAGGAAGTTTGAATGGGAGCTCTGTGGCTCTATTTAGTTACAGGCAAGGCTGTAATACTGAAACTGGTAGGATAGCAACCTATAAAAAATGAAAATTGCAGTATTGTTTAGACTGACAGATTCTTTTTTTTCTGAAGGACTTGGTTTCTGCTGATACTCTGTGGAGCAATAAATGGTTGCTAGAAGTCTGTCCATCTTACAGTGACAAAGAGGTTGGACTCCTGTTCTAGATATGAGTGTACCTAATTATACTTATGCCTTTGTAATTCTGTGTAATACAGAAATGAAGTTTATAGGTTTTTGACCTCTAAAACAAGGCCTGCTCAAAGGGATATCTTTCATTTCTGATATACCTATTATTATAACTAGCTGAGGCTAGTCACAAGTCAATAAATAATGTAAGAGTAGAATCTGCAAGAACCATTTGCTGCATTTAGAAGAGGGGAAATTGCTGCAGAAAACTCATCAGTTTTGCCAAAAAAAGGGTCTACTTCAAAGTTGGGCAAGCAAAAGACTCTTCTCTGTCCTTTTCTGCAGCACTTCAAAGGCCATCGCTAGATGTATAGCTCACGTGGGCTTCTTTATCTGCTTGGCTCATAGTTCGCTCCTCCGTGTCACCTTCTTAATTTCTGTTTTTGTGATGGTCTCATTAAGTGAAGGCAGAAGGCTTAAATGCTATGGAAAGTCACAGACCACCAATTGTAACTCTGTTCACCTACTTGCTTAGTATGGGCTTGATGACAACTACTAAATGATTAGGAGAGCACTGCTCTGACATCCCTGTATGGAAACAGGAAATAAAACAATTTTTTGTTTTTACAGAATCTGATCAGGATTGCAGTAGGGCAATGTTATTTTTTGTAAATGTTGGGTGCCAGAGAAAGTCTTTCTAAAGACTTCTGTGTCCAATCACAATAGTAACCTTCAAAAATCTTTGTCTCGGCAAATCTATTCACTGGTCTGTAAACTCAGTGGGTTAACTTTTCAAAAAGCATACCATTCTGCTTGCATACACTTTTGCTCATAATCACATCATCATCAAATATAGTGGACTTATGGACAAAAAACATTTGCATTTGTGTCTACAGAATAAATGAAACCTAATTGCTTGAGCGATCATTGTTTAAATATTGAAAAGTTATTAAGAGAGAAAAATATATTCTTAAATCAGACGCCAGTTTAATTTGTGAAGTGCCTGGAAAGACTACTACATGATTCTTCGTTCTTGATTTGCCAACTTCAGAAATTTTCAGAGGCATATAATAATGTCTTTTTAATTCAGTGTTTCATAGAGCTTCTAATAATGCTTTCTATGCTTTACTCTACAGATCAGTAGCATGTGACTAGAAAAAAGGCACCCTATAAAAAGCTTTTGCAATCTGCAGCAAATTTTTTTTGTTCTGTTTACAGTGGAGTGTGTTGCACCTTTGTTTTGGGAACTTGCATCAGTAAAAATTACTTGAAATTATGTATGACAGATAACCATTCAAAGGAGAAGACAAAATCAGGCTTGACTGTTCTGTTCTTTTGTTGCATGTGATGAGCATCTAGAAGGCTGTTTCTTATGCTTTGAAGTTTTCTTTTCTTTTTTGTTTTAGTGCAAGTGACCGAAGAAGCAGTCAAATTACTAGAATTAAAATTATGTGTAAGACACTTTGTATCTTTCTGATGTCATACTATTTCTCAAGTCTATTCTGATTTAGAAGGTGGGGGAAAAACACCAAAAGTACTTCCCTTCGTGGCTCAGTCCTATTAATTTCTCCATTTCTTCTGTTTGGTCCATTTGCATAAGGAGGAAATGTTACATTTGGCATTTAGGGAAAAGCTGTTGGAGTTTTTTATAACCAAAAAGCCAATTCCAGACAAAACTGAGCATCTTGAAGAAGCAAAAAGGGCTCAAACCTTTGCAACTCTGTTACCTTTTGGCTTCCATTTGCTCTGTGAGCCTGCTGCTAAAGTATTATTGTGTTCTTCCCAGAGCTGCCATGATGGAATTGTATCTTCCAGTCATTTAACAAAGGAGTTCGAAATTTTAACAGTTCTTTTGTTTTGTATTTTACAGGCAGATTTTAAACTGATGTGTGATAATGCAATGACTTACAACAGACCAGATACTGTTTACTACAAGCTAGCCAAGAAGATACTGCACACAGGCTTTAAGATGATGAGCAAAGTAAGAGACCTATTAGAAACAAAAAGCAGAAACTCTTTGGGTTTTTTTTTTGTCATACTTAAAAGGAACATAATTAATAACAATGATAAATGTTATTTCATCCATCTGTGATTAATTATAGCAGTGCCTGTTAGTGCTGCTGTATTTAAGGGCTTGATAGCACTCTTGTTATAACCACACCCTTATTTCTCAACCTTATCTGCACCACTGAAGTCTGTAGGAGCTTCTTCCACTGGCCTCAGTGGAAGCAATTAAGATCCGTGTATATAAAAACCAACTGTAAAATATTGCTTCTGAAACTTTGAAAACAAGATCTCATTTAAGTTTTAGTTCTGCATAAACAAGAAAGCTTTTCTTTTTTGAAGGTGGTGGGTGTAGGGGAGGTTTCAGGGTTTCACAGATGCGTGCGTGCAAACACACTTTTTACTCAAATACAGTTGTTGGCTTGTAAAATGAAGTTATTTTAGTGAGCTACTCTGTGTGTGTGTGTGTGTGCGCGCGCATGTGTTGCAGTTATGGTAAGTTTTGTGTAAAACAGGCAGTTGTCTTTGCATATGCAGTTTTTTTTTTGTTTGTTTCTCTCTTGATAGTTGGGCTGCAGAAATTCTGATGCCATGCTACCATGACCAAATCATGTTGCATCGCCATTGGAAACGAGGCATTAAGAACAAAATAAGGCCATGGCCATTCCCATCCCATCCCATTATCATAGCATCTTGGCTATGAGGGAAAGGTTAAGTCCCTGCCGCTCTGTCCTTTCTGATTCTAGGAACGGCTGTTAGCTTTGAAGCGCAGCATGTCGTTTATGCAGGACATGGATTTTTCTCAGCAGGCAGCTCTTTTGGGTGATGAAGACACAGCAGTTGAGGAACCTGTCCCTGAAGTTGTTCCTGTACAAGCAGAGACTACCAAGAAATCCAAAAAGCAAAATAAAGAAGTTATTAGGTAAAGGTTTTAATGGGCATGCTTACTGGTTTGTTGCAGCTTTTGTAGTATTAGACAGCAGCAAAGAATCGAGGAAAAAAACTCCATTGAGCCTTTCTCCTTGTGGTCCATAGGATAAATGGGCAATTTTATTGTATTTTGTTTATTTATAGAAGTAGTTTAATAACCCAGTGATTCCCAAGTTGAAACAAACAATTAAAAGAATGACTGCGTATTCTTTTAAATACATAAAGTTAATGTATATGTAGATATTTTTATCCTTCTTTCTATCTGTATTAAATAATGAGTGGTTTCTTCTCATGATGGTTTGAAATGTTCTTTCATTTTTAACATAGCCACAAATACCTTTCGCATTTTGTCCTTTTTTTTTTTTTTCCTAAAATAATTGACTGTATCAAAATCTTACAGGATCTTTCTGGGAAGGCAAAGTGGCCCCAGATAAGTAAATGATATTATTTAACTTTAGTCTTATCTGGCAGGATATAGAGGTACAGGAGATTATTTCTAGAGCAGATGATAACATCTTCCCACTGAAATCTTTTTAAGCTTCTTTGTAAAATACATTGCTAGTGCAGTAGCTATCTATCAGCTAATAGGCACCCCTGTGTCACAAATATGTGTTTTTATAGCTAAAATCTAATTTTAGTCAAAGGGTTTTATTTTCTATTATATCAACTGGAATTTTATGAGGATAAAACTAACAAAGCATTACTAGTCATGTCTTAAATAATCTGATCATGTAGATGTGTTCTGCAGGCTTCTTTCTTAAACATCCAAAGTAAAAAAGTTAAATGTAACTTATTTCAAGTTCATGCTCTCTCGTTTTTGTTAGAAGTGAACTTTAGAGTTCTAATCAGCCACATGTGTTTTGTTACACTTGAAGCATTTTTGTAATCCTGCTTAATGTCTGATGGAAGAAGTAGTATTTTAATGTAGTTGTTCTGTGAAAATAGGAGACTGCAACATGTATCTTCAAAAATAATTTTAAACTGAGTAATTTTTTTGGCTGGAACTATTCTATAATGTCAGCATACAGAAGCATCTGTTGCTGTATCATGGAGAATTATCAAAGTGTAAATTGTTCTTTGTTTAATGGATTGTGTATAGGAATTAACTGAAAGTACCTTTCTGTAAACAAGACTTGATTGGGGGGGTGCTGGTTTGTTTTTTGTTTAGTTGGTTGGGGTTTTTTTTAAAGATATGATGATTTGGTTTGGTGCCCAGAATAATAGATTTTTCTCTTCTGATTAATTCTTGCATAAACTCCATTACAGGAGTAACTTTGTACTTTGCCACTTTTTGTGTGCTCATCTTCAAATACAGATAGCTAACAGAGCAAGAAATTGAGACTGCCAAGCAATATAGTACTGCTCTGTCTTTAATATCTACCTTAACATACAGTTCGGATAGTTAAAAATAACTGAACTTTAATTTTATCCTGATACCAGTTTCCTTGCAATCAGATGTGGTATAAATTTACTTTCCTGTTCTTTTCAATGTTTATGTAACTTTAGTAGTTGGAATTAATTTGGTTTTTCTAGTTAACTTGACTTTTTAAACACTTGTATTTTGGCATCAGTAGGATGGATAGTATTCTTTTTGATGTATAGTAAGAACTTTGGGGGGAGAATCGAACCTAATAGCAGATATTTTTGCTTTCATATTTCACAGTTAGAGAAAGAGCTGAAGTCAATGTTTGCAAAGTGTTAAAGCAGTTTAGACCTCTATACTGTAGTTTAAAAAGTGACTTGATCACTTGGACATCCTAATTTCTAAGTAGTTCTAGAAAATTTTGTCCAGGATGTTGCAACCTTTTGAACACTCTCTCAAAATTCTTGTCCATTAAGTATTCTGTAGAGTGTGATAGAAAGTGTCAGTTGTTGAGGAGTTTCCTGCTGTGTACACCCTTTCTTAAAGTTTCAATGAAACAAAAATCGTATAACACATTTGTCTCATAATAGTATGATCCTGTGATGTTTTTATTGTCTTTAATAGCAAAACTTTCTTGTGTATCGGATCTGAATCTCTATACAGAGAGAAATTCTTAGCTAAGCAAATGGAAGAAGATACCCCAGGAGAGAGAAATGGATTTGGTGTGAGGAGATGCTCTACCCAGTACCTAAGGTGTTTGGCCCTAGTGTCTAATGTCCATATAATGCCCTGAAAGATTTTGATGTACAAAGTTTATTTTAAATACATAATATAATGAAGACTGCCATATCCTATTATATCTTCACACTTCCCCTTATAATACTACCTTCCTCTGATTTTATATAATAGCTATGTCCTGTTCCATCTTAAGTATGCGTATTTATTATGTTTTTACTGTTTTGGTGCTTTAATGAAAAGGGATCTACTGAAAGATAAATGTTAAATTCTGTAATTTCAATGAGAAGGAATGGTGTGATTGATGCTGATTAGGGATACTAATTGCCAATATTAACAAACACAGGAATTAAAGGACTCCCTGTTAGACTGGGAGCAGTGTCCTGCTTCTACAAGCAACTAAATGACATAATCCTCATAAATGCAGCCTGTTGGGTTTTTTTCTCAGATTAGAGTTACACAGTCTCCATTCCCCCATCACATAATTTCTTTTCTGCATCTTTCTATTTGGAATTTGTGAAAATAGCATATTTGTGCATGTGGGAGACTAAGGACGCATACAGCATTCACCTTGTATTAATGCAATTTTACTCCCAATCTCTGTTTTGTAATACTTTCCTTTATTTTCATCAAGGTACAGAAACAATTAAATTTTTGAAGTTCAGTAGTTTGGTAGTTCTCAGCTTCTGCTGCAAAACTTCAGTTTCATAATATGATTATAATTCCACTTAAATGCTGAAGTAGACTGACACTGGGAGAGGAGTGGGACTGATTGTTCTATTTAGCAAACCCAGAATTCAGCCCTTTGTTTTGTTTTAGCTTTTAATTTCTACAGCTACTCCTCTTCTTTCTTAGTTGCATATTTGAACCTGAGGGAAATGCGTGCAGCCTGACAGATAGCACTGCTGAAGAACATGTCCTGGCACTAGTGGAACATGCAGCAGATGAAGCTCGGGATAGGATCAATCGATATCTACCCAACAGCAAGGTCTACTGCACAACAAAGTTCACAATTCCATTTTGTGTCTGACTATTGAATGCTTTGTTTCATCTTAGGAAACAGGCTTTAATACTACGTTTTCTGAGACTGTAACATGTAGGATGTATGCTCTGTGTGGAATACCAATATGACTTATTATCTATCGTTTAGTTCCCACTGAAGCCCATTGTATGGTGTCCTCAATGGATCTCAGGTTGTATTGTGTGTGGAACATCTTTAGAAATCACTTGCAAAAAAACATGAAATGTTGCTCAATCTTGCATCTGGCTTCCTTAATTGCAACCCTTAGCATTGAAAGTGATTTTAATAGCATCACGCTCTT